GACGAGCCGGACAACAGTCGATCGTTGGTTCCAGCGTATCGTTGCTGATCCTTGGACTCGTGCATGCCGCCCGACGGCTGCTGATTGGCCAGTAATCGCTCCGCCGAGGAGAATCGTTCCTTAGCTGGCATCGGGGAGCCTGGTGCCGTGCCGCCGCCATATCGGGCGCTTGGAGAACTTGGGGGCAGAATCCTATCAACAGCAGAATAACCAGCCAGACTCTGGGTCGAGGCGTACTTCTCGCTCGGGCTGGGCGACAGGGGCGGCGGGGGCACGGGCACGAAACGGTCGTTCGCGGGCGCCGGTGACGGCGGAGAGGGAAACGTCTCTGACGAGAACGGACTTGTCGCGCATCCCGACACCAGGATGTTGGCGTTCGCGTACTCGTTCCCCGACGACACCAGCTCGTTCCCGGAATGGTGGAAGCGTAACTCGCCCCCGGCAGCCGGCTGAAAACGTTCGCTCGGGGCCAGCGATAGTCTCTGCTCCCCGTGCAGCCCGGCCAGCTCGTTGAATCGTGGAAAACGCTCGCCCAGAACCGTCTGCGACAGTGTTTGCCCGCTCGACGAGCCCGATCTCCCCGGGGTGAACTGATGGTGCGTTTGCAGAGAGGACTGACCGTATCTCTCTTGATTCTGATAATGGCCGAACCGCTCGCAGCCGGCTTGTATCGAGCGGCTCTCCGGGCAGGATTTTGGGAAATCGTCGATAGTCGGCTTGTCCGTCGACTTGTCTTGCCGCTCGATGCCGGACATCCGTTCGCGGCCTCCATAATCAACGTGCTCGTTACTTTGACCCTGTTGCTCGGACTGGTAACGATCCTGCCCAGAACCGGTTGATGCATTGCCCACCGGTCGTAGGTCCGTCTGTTGTTGCGCTGGTTGTTGCTGCTGTTGCTGTTGCTGCTGCTGCTGCTGTTTGTAACAGTCTGAGGAGCCGGTTGAACCGATCTGCGAGCCCACGCTTCCGGATGCCCCGGTGTTCGATCCTGGAACCGGAGATGACGAGGGCCCGTATTGAGAGATCGGATGTTGGTGCAGTAGGAGACGTTCTCTTCGGCCATAGTCGTCGTCTGTCGGCATCCTGGTGGCCCGGGGCCCGCTGTCAGGACATCTGCAACATTAATACACGTTCTTGTTACTCCAAGTATTTTCATTCGAGACAATATTTCTTAGAAAAATAGGAGGTACGACTTATTTTGCAAGTTGATGAAATTTCAGGTAACGTGAATTTGCTTCTTTGCTTTTCGCAACGACGTAATGCAGAAATATGACCCAGAGGCAGACAGGATTTGGTTGTTACGTGACATTAAAACGCAGCTCGTATAATCGATTGCAAATTAAATTGAGATTCCGCTTGGCCGCGTTTCGCTATACTCAAACATGTCCAAACGAGTGACGCGTGCGGTCATACGTAACCACTGGCAAGCCTGCAGCGAATTGCTGCGAAACACAACGATTTCATCGATCACTGCTTAAATCCCCTAAAGGGTATTGAATAGCGCGGCTGTTCGGCCCATGAAACTTTCGCTACGGGTCAGTATAAAAGCAAGAACGAATCTCTATTTTCGCTGTCGTTAATTCCACTCCGTTACGGGCATTTGAACAGAAATGTTTGTAAACATTTTGAAATAAATATTTCAATCATTATTTAGATCTTTCGTACCTCGTCAAAGATACTTTCAAAAATAGCATGTTAATATTAAAACGTATTAAAAGTAAATAAAATAATACTAAAAGTTAAAATAGCAAATTAAAGTGTCGATTTGGAAAATGAATTTTTGACGTCAAAAATTGATTGAATGTTTCAATTAAATTGATTGCAAATACTTTAACAGTAGCAAGGTGCAAAAATAAAGAAGAGGATACTGTGATAAAAACGAAGTACACGACACGTCGTATTTTCTGCGATGTAAGGAGAATTAACAGGATCTCGGATCGTTTCTTTCTGCTGATATTACACGATCTACGGTAAATGTAAAAAAGAACATAAATGGTTCGTGAATTGTTCGCTATTTTGTGGAACGCCAGCTGCGTTTTATCTTTACGACACCGACAACGCGTGCAATTTCCACCTTCTGCAAACTTTTCCCACCGCTGTGTAATCGACGCATTGCAGAACTCTTAAATGTCTCTGTTTCCTATACTCCACGTGAAAGTTACCGGTAATACTGTATCTTACTTAACTGTTCGATTCTATCGATACTTATTAACAGATCATTGACTTTTACTGTAGTCGTGAATAGGGTGAAGTATTAGGGTAGTAGGTAATATAATACTTAGAGTGGAAAATGTAGTTTGATTATAAGTTATTTAATAGAAAAAATATATGAAAGAGAAATCTTAAGAAAATATGTACTTTAGAATTCAAAAGATCTCAAAATCCAATCATCCCAAGAATACAACATAGATTCCAAGATTCCAAAATTGTAAAATTACAAACTCTTAAGATATAAAAATTTCAAGATTATAATTATTAAAAATATTAAAAGATTTAAAAATTGCAAAATTTCGAAGCTATAAGACGCCATTTTCTCTAAATCTCTAAATCTAAGGAGTAGAATATCCCTAGATCTTAAGATTCCAAAGTTCCAACATCCTTAAAATTCTAAAATCACTAGATTTTGAATTCGTAAGACTCTAATATCCCCAGCTCCCAAAAGCCCTAGATCCCACTATCCCTAGATAAAAAATTCCTAGGTTCAAAAATTTCAAGATCCCAAAATCCTTAGATAAAATATCCCCTGGAACCAAAAATCCCTAGATTCCACTGTCCCTAGATCCCCAAATCCCTAGAGTCCAATAACCCTAGATTCCAAAATCCCAAGATCCCCAAAACCCCAGAGTCCACTATCCCTAGATCCCAAAATCCCTAAATACCCAAACCCCTAGAGTCCAATATCCCTAGGTTCCAAATTCCTAGATCCCCAAATCCCTAGAGTTCAATATCCCTAGATTCCAAATTCCTAGATCCCCAAATCCCTAGAGTTCAATATTTCTGGATTCCAAAATCCCTAGATCCCCAAATCTCTGGAGTCCAATATCTCTAGGTTCCAAAATCCCTAAACCCCAAATCACTGGAGTCCAATATCCCTAGAATCCAAAATCCCTAGATCCCCAAATCCCTGGAGTCCAATATCCCTAGATTCCAAAATCCCTAAACCCCAAATCACTGGAGTCCAATATTCCTAGATTCCAAAATCCCTAAATTCCCAATATCCCTAGATACAAAAATCCCTAGATCCACAAATCACTAATTCCCAATATCCCTAGATACAAAAATCCGCAGATCCCCAAATCACTAGTTCCCAAAATCCCTAATCCGAAATCCCTAGATCCCAAAAGCCTTGGTCCCAAAATCCCTAAATTCCAATATCACTACATAAAAAAATCCCCAGATCCCAATATTACCAGATTCCAAAAATCGCCATATCTCAATATCCCTAGATTCGAATATTCCTAGACCCCAATATCCCTAGATTGCGTCTGTATTTAAAAATGTCAGTGTTGCTACGTCATAGATATTATATTTGAAACGATACATAAATTACAAAGTTCGACAAATGAAACTGTGAAATTAAGCGTTAGTATTCTGAATAATTGCAATTATCATACATTGAATAATCATACTTATAATTATCATCGCAACATGTAGAATTTCGAACGTGATTATAATACAGGTCCAATAATAAATATTAGATATGAAATTATAATGAGTGTTATTAGTATAATAAGGATATCGACCGACTCGTCGAATTTTACATAAATGAATTACTCTATGTAACGTAACGTTCCGAAGCGATATAGATTCGATAATTTAACTTCGTATTCAACTACAATTAATATCTCATGTTTCAGAGATCATTTAATAGTTAACGCGTCGAGGTCGTATCGAGGAAATGAAATTCTAATATCAAATATTAGGTAGGAAGTGTCCACGATCAAACACGAACCACCCCAATTAATTTATCTTTCGACGATCTAACTATGCTCTAAGTAAATTTAACTTCGGCCAGGAGTTACAGTCCGATCGAACGTTTTTCCCCGCAAGTTCCACGGGAAAAGTATGATAAAGCACGTAATTAATCTTTATTCAGGTGCCGGCGGCGAAATTAATTAAGAGATGTATCCCGTTCGCGAAAGAATCAATCCGAGTGGCAGTCAATTATCCCCCGGTTTAACTAACCGTGCTTTCGCGTTAAATTTAATCGTAAGCTGATTAAACGATACGGCGATTATACAATGTTTCCTGTGTTCGTCTAGATGAAAAATAATTCACGCAGAAGTTGTACGGAAGTCGAAAGGGATAATTCGATCATATGTACCGGGGTACAAAGGACACGAAAGCGGACAGAGGGTTAATTGGCCCTGTATTAGAAGCGGAGCCGGGACCTACAATCGCTCGTGAACAGAATGAACCGTGTAATTGATCCGACGTTTCACCATGAAACACGATGGCCTCACTGAAATATCGACTACCTTATTCTTGTCATTTGTAAACGTTACGGTTAATCGCCGCTTCTATATTTTATGCAGTCGCTTTGATTATGATTATTTAGAGGTGTATATGCAAAGTTCATACATAAGGTGACTTTTATATTTTAGGATTAATGTAGATATATAAAAACATGAGGACAGGACGTAAACATCTGGGTATGAAGATATAAAGACATAGACCTGGTAATGTAGTTATGTGGAACATGTGAGTATAAGGACATGGTCTACGAATATGTGGATGTAGGGACACAGAGAGTCGGTGAGACAAGAATCTAGGAACATATGAATCTGTAAACATAGGAAACTAGGAACTGATGTATATATAAAATGTGAAGATCTGGTAACGTAGTTACCTAGACACATGTGGACCATATGTGTTGGTCTATGAATATGTGAATGTAGGGACACAGAGAGTCAGTGAGACAAGAATCTAGGAACATATGAATCTGCAAACATAGGAAACTAGGAACTGATGTGTATATAAGATGTGAAGATCTGGTAACGTAGTTACCTAGACACATGTGGATCATATGTGTTGGTCTTTGAATATGTGGATGTAGGGACACAGAGAGTCAGTGAGAAAAGAATCTAGGAACATATGAATCTGCAAACATAGGAAACTAGGAACTGATGTATATATAAAATGTGAAGATCTGGTAACGTAGTTACCTAGACATATGTGGATCATATGTGTTGCTCTATGAATATGTAGATGTAGGGACACAGTAGTCAGTGAGACCAAAATCTAGGAACATATGAATCTGCAAACATAGGAAACTAGGAACTGATATGTATATAAGATGTGAAGATCTGGTAACGTAGTTACTTAGACATATGTGGATCATATGTGTTGCTCTATGAATATGTGGATGTAGGGACACAGTAGTCAGTGATATAAGAATCTAGGAACATATGAATCTGTAGACATAGGAAACTAGGAACTGATGTGTATATAAGATGTGAAGATCTGGTAACGTAGTTACCTAGACATATGTGGACCATATGTGTTGCTCTATGAATATGTGGATGTAAGGTCACAGAGAAACACTGACATAATAATCTGGAAACATAGAAATCTAGGAACATAGGAAACTATGAAGTGATGTATACATAGGTCATAAATATATGGTAACGTAGACATATGTGGCCAACCACATGTGACAAATGTAGACAACCTAATACATTGATCTACGAATATGTGGATGTGTAGACACAGAAAGTCAGTGACCTAGGAATGTAATAACAGAGTAATCTGTAAATGCCAAAAACTAAGAACTGACAAATACCTCCATCCTACAATAATCCACAACCGCCCTTAAAATATTCCAAAAAAGGTCTTATTGCATAACAAAGTTAAGATATAAAATTTCGTTGCAGATCACGTAACAGCAATGTTTACCAAGAACAGCAATTCTCAGCCGATCAAACAAAGGAAACCTGGATATTGACAGAAGCAAAAATTAATTAAACTAGCAACACCTGATGACGCGTGAACGAGCAACGGTCCAAGCTGGCCAAATACATCGTGTGTTTCAGCTGGTCCGTAATTTCTTTGCCGGCGAAAGAACGGTTCGAAGAACAACGTGGACGTTGTTACAGTAAGTTTTTGCAATTAGT